CTTAGAAGTAAGGTATAACAGGTTGTGTGATCTTACTTGCAAATAATGGAAAATTTTTAAAACTGACTAAACAATAAAATGTTGGCACAGCAATTGAAAGATTCTAGATTAACTTTCCAATTAATTTACAACAGCAATTCAATCCTTGTGGTTAAATGGAATGTGTGCTACTGACTTAGGTCAATCCACACATTTCCAAAGAGCTGAGGATGGAGTTAGTCCTCTATAAGTAATGGGTGGATAGCAATGACCAAGGATGCTGAAAAGAAGAATAAATTCACACTTTGTAGGAATGCATGAAATCAGAACCAAAGGTCAAGGAAAAGTAAGGGATCCTTATGATGTTGACTGAGGGCTTATTGCCTTGGTTTAGAGACACCATTACTGTCAACACAGAGAACTTTGGGGGGCACTGCCTTCCTTGCCCTTAAATTACTGAAACAAAAAAAGGGTAAGTAGAGACAAACATTCCAGACAATAGGAGGCAGATTCCACAGCCTTAAGGATTTCAGTGTTTTTACAAATGTACTTGAAACCAACATGCTAGGATGAGGAAATATTTTCCAGGTGGTGACCCAATCTATAATTTCACAAAAGAAAAATCCACTCTAACTCTCCAACTGAAATTATTATTTTTTTCCCCCGAGAGCAAGTGCTTGCTGACTTGGAAAAAAACTGGTTCAAAGTCAAGTGCTATGAAGCAAGTTTCTGATGACTGTTAGCTTGGAAGTGTTTAGCATGGAGACTTCCTGCGCCTGGGGCTAGCTAGAAGGAGAATCTGGAGTCTTAACAGAGCTGTTGATGACATTCCCCAATTTCTACAGGTGACTCCTGAGTTATGTGCACTTAAAACAAAGCAGGCTAATTGGTTTGGGTTTTGGTACAATATATCATACTTCGCTGGGAGAGGATTTTTGTGGGGGTTGTTCATGTTAAATACAACTTTGAAATAAAGAAATCCCCTGCTACTCAATCCTCATGGCCCCATCAAAATTTATTATGGCAAAGAACACAGACTATGTGCTGTAAATCCTTTGGTTGAATCCACTCTCTCACTCTTTCTTTCCCAATCTCTCTCCAGTCTTTCTGTCTGTCTGTCTGTCTCTGAAATAATAAAAAATGATTAATGGAGGAGATTTAGCCTGAATGAATTATATGCAAACTTGTCTTACATAAAATGATTTTTCCCCATGATACTATATTTCCATCTCTGCTTTATCATTGCCTTTTTGGTTGAATTAATGCAATAATATTCCAAAAGTCATCCTCCATTACACGACCATTTGCCTTCATGTTCAAGGCAACAATGTCATTTTCAGATGAAGCCATTTGTCCTTATTGGGAACAGACAAGGCAGTTGGTACATTCAGACTCAATTACAAAGTTGCATGATTGATTCCAAGATAGAGCTTGGAGCTGAGGCAAATGAAAGTTTAACTATTCAGTGTGTTCTCTCTTCTGCTAGATCTGATGGGAGAGTGACTCATATAACCAGACCTCAGAGGGAAGCAGAAAGTGCTTAACTTAGATCAGTTCCCCAAAAAGCAGACTCTGAGATAGACTTTAGGGTGCAAGATGTTTATTAAGGTGTTCCCTTGGGATCAATACCTGAAGAAGAGAGAAGGAAGCAATGGTGGACAGAGAGAATGATGAGTTATGAATCAGGCCCTGCATTGTCCCATGGAAAGCTCCGGACTTGATAGGGCTCTTCACGTTACATTGATTAGTTATTAAAGTCTAGGGCAGTGGTTCTCAGTCAAGGGTGATTTTCCCCCTTAGGGGATATTTGACAATGTCTGGAGATACTTTTGATTGTTATAAATGGAGGTGTGCTGTTGACATCAAGAGGATGCTGGCACCAGGAATATGGCTAAACATCTCATAATACATAAGATGGTCACAAGTAGAAAATATTAGTAGTGTCAAGGTTGGAAAGCCCTACTCAAGGCCTACACATCCCTTCTTGAAGTGAACCTTGGTGGGTATCACAGCATCTACCCTAGGAATCAGCATTTTATAGAGATACTGCTGCTTGTCATACACAGTGCTGCCTTCCTTATTCCTCATAATCTCCACATAGTCCTTTTGAGGAGAGTCTCATAGTTTCCATTTCTAATGGGGAAACTGATGCTCAGAGAGAGCAGTTAAGTAAATTCCTCAACTTCATAGACTGGAATGATGCCCAGGTGGGATTTAAAGTGGACTTGCATGTCAAAACCTTGTGGTGTCTTCTGGTTTTTGCTTAATGGTTCTGCGCAGTAGCCCTTAAACCTTTCTTTTTCTCTATTGCAAGCACGAGATGGATTATGTTTATATGTTCAGTTCACTCCCATGGAATTCCTGGGGCATGAGCTATAAACTCACCTCTCTCTACCTCATTTAAAAAGCACAATAGAACATGTGAGCTGACACAAATTATAAGGGATGACCTGGAATACTTGCTAATTTGTATTTTTAAGTAGACAATTCCTGAACTCTGAGCCCTTACAATTAGTAACAAATTGCATACAGTAAGCTTGCAGTTGATTTTCACATTGACTATAAAACCTGTTGGTAGTCTTAGTGATTGCAAAGAGTCTGCAGTATTTTCAAGAGAACTTGCTTCATACTGCCTTTTTAAGCTTGTGTCTTGGGATGGATGGAATCACTCATGAATATTCCTCAAATCTCACCGGCACCTGAAAAACCCAAGGAATCAAAAATTAATTCCCTCCTACACTGTTTTAGAAACAATTCTATTTTCTTGTTGCAAATAATAACATTTACTAATCAAGGAACAAAAAATTAAGGACCACTTGGCAGACATATAGGTGAATTTAAAGTTACATATTCTAAAACAAAGTTTATAAGTGGTGATTTTTTAAATAAAAGGACCCAGTGAAAGGAATAAACTTGTAGCCTTATAAAAATGTTAAGGAAAATTTATTTATGCATACAAGAACTGGGGTACAGGCCAGAGGTGTGGGAGGTGAGAGGATTCACCAGAGACGAGTGGGGAGCAGAACAGGCAGATCTACTGAAAGACACTGCTGAGGGGAGCAGCGAGTGAGTCAGGAGAGGTCTGCTGCACCCATGTGGGTCACCTACCTGGCCAGGTGTCAAACTTGTGCTTCAGTGGCTGTGGATAGCTTCATAGTGCTGCGTCTTAACCCCTTGCGCCACCAGGGAGACCCAAGGAAAACAAAATTTAATATATATTTAACCCAAAGATTAAAAGAAAATAGAGACATTTCATTATTATTGAGCACAACAATAATGTTATTATAGTCAAGAACAGCTGCATTTTAAAATTTCCTATAACAGTTCAGTTACTTAAAAAAAAATGCTTTTGTTAATTCCTACAGCATATATGTATATGGTGGATACCATCAACTTTATATGGAGGTGTGAAGTTGTACTTACAAAATTATCTAACTATGTAAACTAGAGGCAAATTAAAAAAAAAGAAAGAAGAAAGAAAATACAAAGACCAGAAAGAGGAAAACACATTGTGTACATTCATAGATATATTGTCAGAGATCATTGCTACATTCAGATCACTTTCTACCATCAGAAAACCTAATTTAGAGTTAATTACATGTATACATTTGTTCATTCACACTTTCAATCAAATTTAACATTGCTAAACAAAATTCGTGTCTCAGTCAATTAGGATGGCTATGACAAATTGCCATAGTCTGGATTAAATAGGAAACATTTCTTTCTCACAGTTCTGGATGGTGAAACATCTGAGATGAAGGTCTGCTGTCTAATGAGGGTCTATTCCCTGCATTGTTGATAACCATCTATTCCTTGTCCGTTCATGAGGCAAGAGAGCAGAGAGTGCCAGTCCTCTTCTTATAGAAACACTAATCCCATGATGGGATCTCCTCCCTCATGACCTAATAAACTTCCAAAACCTTCCCCACCTCTAAATATCATCACATTAGGGCTTAACATAAGAACTTGGGACAATCAGTCTGTAGAGTGTAATATACACAGTGGAGTGCAGGCAAATGTTTAAAAATTCACTCAAACTATTTCAGTAGGTGTATGCATGTAAGTTTATTATAACTTTTACTGATATAAATACACACAAGTTAAAAATTAAAATAAAATACACAGGGGCCTCCGCTGGTGGCGCAGGCGGTTGAACGCCGCACTGTGAAGCTGTCCAAAGCCTCTGCAGCGCCGGTTCGATCCCGGCTGGCTGGGGAGGATCCCACATGGTGCAGCAGACCTCCCCTGTCTCACCGGCTGCTCCCCTCAGCAGTGTATTTCGTCAGTCTGCCTGTTCTATTCCCCGCTCTGTCTCTGGTGAATCCTCTCGCCCTCCTGCGCATCTGGTCTGTACCTCTGTTCTTGTATAAATAAATCTTTAAAAAATAAAAATAAAATACACAGTAAATTTTCAATTTTGTATATCCAATCGATCCTTACAAAACACTTTTAAATTTTATCAAAATTTTGCAACCATAGCTAGTCTCTGAGATCAGTTGACCCACAGGAGTATAGTGCAATTTTAGTGTTGATCGATATTTTCAGGTTTCAGGTACCAATATGATATCACTTAACATGGAGCTGGGAAGAGATGTTCAGTAGCACATCATTATTTCTACCATACATATACTATAGTCATAAAACAGCTCAAGAACAGAGGCAAAATAGGAAGTGATGAGATGATTTCTGTTTGTTTTATATATACCTTATTTCATAATTTAATATGATAAATTTATTTTTATTGTATTCATTTTTATGACAGCTTATTAATAATAACTATGTTTATCAACTGGTTCACAACATTTATGCAAATTTAACATTTAGCTCTTCTGAACTGGTATAATTGCTGAGAAGACAAAGTTTCCAGTTAATCAAATATGGTGATTTCCAAATTCTCCTACTCTTAAGTATGTGGGTAGGGGACATCCCATTATCAAGAAAAGTAGATGTTGAAATATATGGTACTGAGATCAAAGTTATTCCTTTAAATTTTATTGGTATTTTTTGTGTTTTATTCACAGGCATTTCCTTGCATCTCAACTGGCATTTATGGTAAGTGATCTTGTTTTGATAATGTCTGCATTACTTTATTTTTGTGGTTAAAGATGAAGTTAACAGGAAAATAAGAGGCAATGTGATGAACCTAGTTTGATATCGCAGAGTCTCAAAGTAAAGTAAAATCTCAATTTCAAAGGGCTATTCGAATATTCTTTTATGTTCCTGAATTTTGTTATACTGAATACTACATGCATTGGTTTGGCACACTATGACAATGTTTTTTGTTAAACAAAAACAAAAATGTCTGTAGGGTTTGACCTCTAATAGTGTTTTCTTTAATCAAGTCAGGTTTTTTTTCTTTCAGATGAATAATAATGCTTATGAAGCCAAGCATTATCATCATTTCTGTTGCAAATAGAAATATTAAAATGTGCACACATGCATAGATCTGTACACTTAAATTAAAAAAAAGAACTCAAAGACTGATAATAAGACAAATAATTTTAATTAACTGATTTTTTTCTTGATATTGATGGATTGTTTAAGTAGTGGCTGTCTCACAGATGGAAGCAAAATGTTTTTACAATCACTTATTTTCACTAGCCTGTAGTTTTCTAAATATTTTTCTATGAACAATGACATTTCCTTATACTATTTTCCTCAGGATGTAAATAAATCTGTTTTACACAATATTAAGGTAAAATAAGTTTGTCATTTTAGGGTTTTCCTGATCAAGGAAAATAGAGTGTGACCTTTCTGAGCTCAAACTCCTCAGAAAGGTTCCTAATTGAAAAATAAAATATGTACAAATCTAAAGAAATTGTTCCAGTTTGTTCCTGTAAGAGAGGGATAGTTAGAATGGTGTCATAAGTAGGAGACATTTCTCCTTAAACTGGTATTTCTTCTGAAGGTGCAATGAGAATAAAATGGGATGTGTAGGTCTAAAAAATTTAATGGAAAAGATTTGTTCGCCTTATTAATCAATTTAAGGCATGCCTCTTCCCTCTCTGGATTCCATTCTGGCTGTTCTTTGCAAATATACGAGGGGCATTAAGCTGGAGAGGGCTAAACTGGACCATCTGCTCTAATATCCTCATTGTAGCCCTACTCTTAGACTCACAGGTGCTCAGTTAGAAATCTAAAATAGGACCTCCCTGATGGTTCAAGGGGTTAAGTCTCAGCACTATGAGGCTATAGGCAGCCACTGCAACACAAGTCCAATCCCCTGCCAGGGAGCTAACCCACAGGGTGCAGCAGACCTCTCCTGTCTCGCCTGCTGCTCCCTTCAGCAGTAGATTTCAGTCAATCTGCCTGTTCTGCTCCCCACTCTGTCTCTGGTGAATCCTCTTACTGCCCCACACCTCTGGCCTATACCCTAGCTCTTCTATGCATAAATAAATAAAATAAATATTTTAAAAAGGGAATCCAAAATATCTGCATAGAGGAAGCATTATATGCCAAGTTTTGCCTGGTTAAGTGTCCAGATCTTCATTTCACATTATCTGGAGTCAAATCAGACTGCATTGTAGAAATGGTTTTCTTGAGACTGTCCTCTTGTGACTATTTTGAGACTGACCTCTTGTGACTATCTAGGTTGTCCTATGCTAGAAACAAACAAATAAAAACCCAATTGACTTAAAAAATATCATGCAAGTCATTTTCTATGTCAGGTTGTTGGTATTTATTTTTTCTCTGAGAATCTTATGGTAATGTGCAAATTTCACAAGGTGAATTTAATGTGATACTATAAAAAAGGGAGAAAAATAGGCAAAAAAACAGGAAAGTATGTTAACAAGGGATTCTGATATTAGAAGCTTATGAGAGTTAAACCTAACGTGACTATGGTTGCATTTTAATCCCTGAAGGACAGGGATTTCTTCATAGAATGTCATGGATCAAAATGCTGCACTGGGTTCAATGGGAGAGTAATATTGAAGACTGTTGAGTTGGGCGTAGATGCAGAGTCAGAGTTGCTGACTGGGAGGGCTGCCATCGAACAGACTGAGTTAGTTTTCATAATGCCAGGTCAAAGAATATAATTTTCAAGTCTTGGTTATTCATCTCTTTTTCATTCTACTTTTAAGTAAGTTTAAAAGAAAGTCTGATACCCACAAAGTCAGGTGACATGTTGCCTTTGGTTAGCCCCATTGAGTCTAGAGACCTATTTATAATTTTAGTTCCTTGAGATTTTATTTCAGTAACTTTTAGATTACTCCAAATATTTTTAGTTTATGTACCATGTAGTATTTTGCCACTTGAAAATTATTTCACATGTCCCTTTTGAAGTTACAGCATTCTGACTACTCCTTTTCTCTTCTAGAACCCATATACACTATAGATATGTTTCTTTGCTCTTATTCAAAATACTTGTTCCTCCTCTTCCATGATCCTGATCAGTTTTACTTTTATCTTTATTTATTGGGACTTTAAATAATACTGTACTTAAAAAACATGGTCCACAGCTAAAAAGAAAAAAAAAATTATAATGGGAGCAAACAAAACTTCCAATACTTTTGTAAGTCACAGTAGAATGAATTTAGAGTGAAAATTCAGAACAGTCTCCAGGTTCCAGTGTTTGCCCTTCTTATACCACATTCCACAGCTACTAGATTATTTTATTAATGACACATAATTCATGTTTCCCATCTGCTCAGGAGCCTTTGATCATATCCCATAACATGAAGGTTGATGATCACTCTTTCTAGACTGAACAGTAGACATTTTGTGTATATTTCTAAATCAGTATTTTCCAAATTTGTGGAGGGAAGGGAAATATCTATTTGAGGATATGAGTTAAATTGTCATTTACATGTATCATTCTTTTGCATCATTAAAAGGGAGATTTAGTTTGTAGCATTTCCTAATAGTTATTTGAGCCTAGAAATTATTCTGTCAACTTTCTCAGGACTATCATTTTCTCCAGAATATAGTTTGAGAAATTTTTTGATTCTTACTCATTGTGGACTCATTCTCTGTTATCCCCAAATGATGTGGTCGATCTGAGAACATGTCATGCATGTACCTTCTAGGTTTAACTCTGTATCTCTTTCTTATAATGTGAGTGTGTGCACAAATGCAACTGTACCAATCTAACACATATCATCAAAGCATACCACTGGACACAGCATACCCAGAACAAAAACAGCACACATGCTTATACAGATGAAAACTTGATATCTTGGGAAACTTCCTTGCATATGTCAACCCTTGATGGTCACTATATCTTCTGAAATTTTTCAACTTTTGTAATTTGGACAATTAACTACTCTTCACTCATATAGTTCCAGTGATTTTGTTTATATACTCTTTGTCCAAAGTCAGTTTGGAATTCTTAATGGAATTTGTTAGTGTGTATTCTGTGCACAATGCCTAGCATTGTATCTGTAGAACCTAGTACATAGTTGCTGTTTATTGATAATGATGATTATTATGACCTAAATTATTGCCTAATTGAAAGTACAGAAAATAAAATTGAGATTGGAAAAATAGAAGTTGGATTAAACTACCTGGTTATTTATTTTTTCTCATGTCAGGCATCACTATTTTGGGAAAAACAAATGGTATTTGTAGGTATAGCAGTGTCCACTTTGACGAGACAAAATTTAAATTCCAGAACTTGCTTAGTTAGAAAGTCAAGGTGAATACAACACTTAACTTCATTTAAGAAGAAGCCCCTATGTTGTTTGTTATGGTCCACAAATGGTCAGTGAGTGAGGCACACATCGGCCCTGAGCCTTATCCAACATGCCTTTGTCCCGAACCATGTCCCCAGCTGCTGGAAAGTGTTTAAACGGTTTGATTTGAATTTGCCTTCACTTTAGATTTATGGCCTGCAACCCTCTGTAACTCTAGTTTGACAAAAACAAATTTTTTGACTATGGTGGAACTATCTTTTGAAGGGGGTTGGTTATTTAATATCCAGGATACGCATTCCCATTTCATGGAAACTCTGACATCATCATCATCACATTCAAAGTATGTCTGGAAGATCTGGTACTTACCAGGGGAAGCTGGGAGCCACAGCAGGAGCCAATTTTTCTCCCAGCTTCTTCCTATTTCTCAGCCTTTTGGGGACAAGCCCTGATGGCAGCAAAGCCAGCTGTTTGTTATTGCAAGATGCTGACTGAAGATTACCCACTTTGTAACTCAGCCCAATTTAAGACATGATGGAAGCAGGCCCTGCTGCCTTTTAAGATCTCCTGGAAGAAGAACCAGACATTTTCTCTGGTCCCAGCAACTGCTGTTGCTGCTCCGACATAATTTTTCCAGGATGGTTCCATGGGGCAATGGACCGCCTGCTTATACTCAAGATGAAAATCCACATTTGGTAAAATACCAAGAATAGGCCTGTGTTACTTTTGGAAAAATAGATCCAGATGAGGCTTACAAGGACTCTCAACTCCAAAATTCCTGTTAAAGATTTGAATTGGCCACTAAACCAGTCTCAGAGGGACAGATTTGAACTTCCCTGATAGACATTTCAGATCCCATGTATGCCTTCTGCCCTAAAGTCTAACTTGGACACTCTGGTGCTAATAAGTTTTACAAAAGGGGCTAGACATGATACATGGCAATGGAATTTTTACTAAGATGTGAGCAGCAAAAATAATTTTAGTCCTTTTTATGAGAATCAATGTAGTTAAGAGAAATGAAGTCCAGGTGGAAAGTATATCCCTTGAGTAATTTGGAAAATATTCTCTTTGGAGAAAAAGAAATCTTGAATCTTGTTTTCCAGGTTTGAGGTGATGCTTTCAGGGAGGAAGGAATTTTAGACATTGAGTTATTGACTGAAAATTTGCAGGAAGAATTTAAGTGCAGCATAACTTAGCTAAAGCAGCTCCCATATTTATTCCTTGTATTTCTGTTATCAGTGTGGAAGGTGGGTTTCTGATAAATCCCCCCGCTTTCCATGAAATGCTGCCAGGACACAACTTCCTTATTGAATCCCTTATTTATACTCAACTTTGTGCTTCAGCTTCCAACTGGTAAAAAAAGAGAACAATGTGATATTTCTTTAACCTTATATATCTACACAGCAAATATTTTTATTGCCA